TAACCCACTTCTGGGAAATGTAGATGCTAGCAAAAAGTTACAAGTTCTGCTAATGCTAACGCGCTACACCAACATAACATTGATACACAGCTAATTAAAGTTAGCTGTGCTAAAGCATTAATCATAAACATTAGCTCCGCTAACATAAGGCGCTAAACCAAAACGATAAGATCCTGGACATGAACGGCTAACTACTTGAAGAATTTACAGAAATTAATAATCAAAAATTCAACACAGATATTGAACTTCATTCAACTGAAGGTTTACGAAACAGTTAGCGCTTTTCCAATTATCGGGAAAATCCATTTAGGGAAAGCTCAGTGTGCTAAGTGTTTTCTAAGTTAGCGACAGCTAAACCAAACTGATCCATAAATGGATCTTCACCAGATGCTTTGACCTCCTGAACTTCCTAAATAATTGAGCTAAATTGGCTCCTGATTTAAAACCCTTTCATTGCCGTTTTTGGAGGCTAAACCTGGACGTTGCTGCCAGACCTCAGGAACATTTTCGTCGGTGCATGCGGGCAGCGTGGCGGCGGTCGGTTCATCAGAGTCTCTGTGAGGGTCGTGATGTTGGCTGTGTTTAAGGAAGCAACGAACCGAACGTCTCGTTTCTCCTGAATCAAAGCAGAAGAACAGTTTCCTGTTTCCACAAACCTCCAGTAATTTGACCAGATTCAGAACGGAGGTGAAATTTTCATGAGATGTTTCTGCTGTCAGACTGACTTCATCTGTAGGAAGAAACCGGAGAAATCCTCCAGAAGTGGCTTCATTTCTTCAGCTTTATGTTTAATTTAAGGACGATGGTCACCATGAATCACGTCCTCATTGTTCAGACTGAAGAGTTTAGGACATTTTGCTGGGATCTTTTTCCTCATCGGTTTCTCCTCCATAATCGCAGGAATTGCACATATTAAAGATGGAAGTTCGTGATGCTGGTCACATCTGGCCTCTGCTGAACATGTTGTGTGTTTTATCTGCAGTCAGGCTGAATGGAAACTTTTCCGCTCTTCCGTCTGTCATAGGAGAAAATAAAGGCTTTCATTTTTCAGCCATATTTTAACTATATATTCATTTATTTCTCTGGTCCGAACTATTATTTCCTTGTTTTTTTAAATGAAATATTTAGTTAGCTAGCTGCTATTTAAATTAGCAATCAAAATCTTCAGTTCAAAATATTTAATTAACAAATTACATATTTAACTAGCAAGATAACTATCTAGGTTGTTAACCAAATATTCCATTAATAACTTAGTTATAGTTACTAATTAATGAGCTAAATATTTAAGTCCATTTAAATACTTAACCAGTGAGCTAAATCTGCAACTCTGAACTAAATATATAATTAGCAAACAAAATGTACAGCTTGACGTCGACATTGACAAAAAAAATTTTCTCCTCTCCAAATAATCCAGATTTTAGCTGTAAAACGATGTAAGAACCGTTTTCTGTAAGGCCTCGATGGTCCGTCGCCCAGTTTCTGACCTTAATGGCAAACACAGCTAAGCTAGCTACGTGTGCTAACCGTACAGCCACAGAGGGAAGCAGCGGCCTAGTTCAAGGCTGCCCACGATTCTTCACTGGTTAACTTTGGATTTCTTGGCGGTTTTGTGGGATGATGTGAATCATCGTCTGGTTGGTTCCGGGTGAAATGATTCTATAGATCTGGTGGTGGAGAGTTTCCAACCTCCTTCAGTCGCTGCAGCTTCGATGAGTTCAACATCTTCATCCTGATCCAACCTTCGCTTTATTCAGCAGCAGCTTCAATAAAACAACCCGCAGAATCTGAATTAACTGTTGGAAAAAAGACAAGCAGCTCTGACTGTGTACACACCCGTTGCCATGGAAACCCAGCGCAGCGACGTCACAGAGCGGTGACCTTTCACCTCTCCGTTCTTCCCCCTACATGTGAAATCAGATGCATATGAATGAAGCACATTGTCTTTTTATTAACATTCGCCCGCGCGCGGCGGCGAGCCCCCCCTGCCTCATGAATATTAATGAGCGGGTAGCCGTGATGGAGAGGCGGCATCAGGATGACAGACGGCGGCATTTCTGACCGGCGGCCGCTGCTCACTGGACCGCAGCTCCATAAAACAGCATTAATTCACACTTTATGCAACGCATGGCGGTAATACGGAAAATATTCAGTCTGATGCGGCAGGAAGACGTCTTGCTCCAAAGGCTGCCGCTTAACATAAAGCACCTTATAGTTTAGATGTTTTCGTTTCTCTGCTCAGGAAATAAATGTTGCAGATTGATCTTTGGTCTTTACAGAAAATAGCTGAGGTGAAACAGAACAATATTGAAGCAATCAGATATTTTCTTTTTTTCTGTGCTTCTCGCTGAAAACATTAATAAACTGCAACTGAAAGAGACCAATGAAATAGACAGTGAGGACCTGAAACTACATAGAAATTAGCATTAATTTAAATTAGTAACACAGATATTAAACACGACAAAATCTTTAATATAATTTATCACAAAGATTTTTGTTTTACAAACAAAAGTTCCGGGTGGAACCTTTGTCGTCGTGTTTCTGGTGCACCTGTAAATCTGATGCAAAACTACAACCGCTAACAGCAGCGATGAAGCTGCTTCAATCGGCCGCTGCGTTTTAATTTGGTTTCTAAACATCTGATTGGATGCTGGTAAAAACTGTTGTTGCGCTTAAACAAGTTAGCTTAGCAGTGCTAATGCTAGCATGTAGCAGCTAACTGCAAGTTCGAATGTTTGTTTTTCTCAACTTTTGACTTTTGGATGCTTTTTGAAATGTTTGAAATGAAAGCATTTCAAACATTTTGAAATGTTTTCGGCAGGCCATGCAGCAGGCGAGGTGTTGCGCGGTGCGACAGACGTAGCCATTTCGTTAGCGTAATCGCTTTCTGGTTACTAACCGTTTTATGACGTGTGGTTTTCCTGCTGCTCACTCAGACGCTCTGCTGAGGTGAATCATCAGTTCTGGATGTTTTACTGTCAGGATGAGACATCTGATATTCTTTCCCTCAGAGGACCGGCTGAATATCCTCAGAGTGGAGATGACTGAGGGGGAAACCTGCAGGCTCATTTCAACAATTCTTCATTTCTTTGTTTCTTTGTTGTGTTTTAATCTAACAAACCCAAACGTCAGAGTCTCAGAGGGATAAAAGTGTTTGGTTGAACGGTTCGGTTCAGTCTGCTCTCTGGTCTGGGCTCCTTTTGCATGAATTACTGAACCGCAGGTCGCGTATAAACATCAGGTTCTGTTAGTTCTGGTCAGATTGAGGTCAGCACGCTTCCACTGATACCAACGCTAACTCACCTTAGCGCTTTAGCATTTTTCTAAAGCGCTTAGCACAGCTGCTTCCCTTCATGAGCTTTTTATTCATGCCGGTTCTGTACTGAGATCCTGGCAGACCCAGACGGAGTAATCCCACCGGCCGGTCCGGCTTGGTTCTGCTCAGCTTGATTTTAGGTCAGTTTCATAATGAGTGACGTAACGTTGATGAGGTTGATTAGAGAGAGGCTGAAGCTCAACGGTGCTGGGTCACAGCAGGTCCAGAAGGTCACAGCAGGTCACAGAGGGTCACAGCAGGTCCAGAAGGTCACAGCAGGTCCAGAAGGTCACAGCAGGTCCAGAAGGTCACAGCAGGTCCAGAAGGTCACAGCAGGTCCAGAAGCTCACAGCAGGTCCAGAAGGTCACAGCAGGTCCAGAAGCTCACAGCAGGTCCAGAAGGTCACAGCAGTCCAGATGGTCACAGAAGGTCACAGCAGGTCCAGAAGGTCACAGCAGGTCCAGAAGGTCACAGCAGGTCCAGAAGGTCACAGCAGGTCCAGAAGGTCACAGCAGGTCCAGAAGGTCACAGCAGGTCACAGAAGGTCACAGCAGGTCCAGAAGGTCACAGCAGGTCCAGAAGGTCACAGCAGGTCGGACGGATGGACACACAGCAACATTTGCATTTGCATCTTAGCAGGACTGTGCTAACAACAGGTCTGGACTTTGACTAGGCCCTTCTAACATGACTCACTTTTGATCTAAAACATCCCATAATGTTTTAGCTTTTCTTCTAATATGGGGTGAATTTGTTGCTATAAAGCAGCATGCCAGGATGACCTCTGACCTTTGTCCCAGTTGAGGAACTCAACTGCTCCTCCAGAGGCAGCAGAGAGGTACTGCATGTCAGAGTGATTAATAACAATAATCAATAACATCCAAGATGGTTGCCATGGTAACGGCTTTAACTCCTGGATCGATTCTGGAGCCGCCGGTCCTCCAGAACACGCTCTCCTCCCAGAGTGTGTGTGTGTGTGTGTGTGTGTGTGTGTGTGTGTGTGTGTGTGTGTGTGTGTGTGTGTGTGTGTGTGTGAACACAGTCGCCCCCGCTGGGCCCTACTGAGCGGATCGTGGGTTTATTATCCAGGAACCAAAGAGCAGCAGATAATTCCTGCTCTGGTTTTAACCTCCAGCTAATTAATATTTATTTACTGTGCTTCTGCACATCTGCTCTGCTTTCTGGGGCCTAGTTAAAGGCCGGCTGAGACGTTTCTGGATGTCTTCTGTTGAATATTTGAAATATTTACCTGAAAAAGAGGAAAGTAAAACAGAATAAACCCAAAAACCCAGAAGGTTGAACACAAACTGCAGTTATTAATTGGTGGCAGAGGAAACGAAGAGTATAAATATTTTGTTTATTTTATATTTTTAGTTTTGTATTATTAGTATTCTTAGTATTTTATTTACTGTAACTTTTCAGTTTTTTGTATTTATTTTATCTTTCAAATAATCAAAACTTACTTATTATTGAATCATTTTATCTTTTCAATATTTTATTACTTTTAAATAACTTATTCAATCTGTTCAAATCATTTTAATGTATTTATTCTTATTTATCTGTATTGTGTGATTTTAGGTTTGTGTTTCTTGAAAAGGTTTGACTCTATAATGTTGACTTTAGCGCCCCCTGCAGGTGTTTTCCTCCCTGTAATGTAATTATTTCTTCCTCAGGTCGCGGATCATCTGACCCTCTGATCAGAACCGGCCTCGCTGACGGCCATGGCGGCCCGACTGCTCCCCCTCCTCCTCCCCCTCTTCCTGTTCGTCTCCATGGTGATGGGAGACGCTCAGCTCCTGTCCGGACAGCGGATGAAGCCGCGCGTCCAGAGAGACAGACGCAACATCCGGCCGAACATCATCCTCATCCTGACGGACGACCAGGACGTGGAGCTCGGTGAGGGAATCATGGGAAATGTAGTCCTCATGTCTGACTGAGGCAGATGAACGTTTTCAGTCTGAGCCACAGCCACCTGATCTGTGTTTAGTTTCGATTAGCATCACGACATCGTGATGCTAATCGACATCGTAATGCTAATCAACGTTGTGATGCTAATCATCGTGATGCTAATTGACGTTGTGATGCCAATTGACATAGTGATGCTAATTGACATAGTGATGCTAATCGACATCGTGATGCTAATCTACGTTGTGATGCTAATTGACGTCGTGATGCTAATTGACGTCGTGATGCTAATTGACGTCGTGATGCTAATCGACCCTCGTGATGCTAATTGACCTCGTGATGCTAATCGACGTCGTGATGCTAATCGACCTCGTGATGCTAATTGACCTCGTGATGCTAATCGACGTTGTGATGCTAATCGACGTCGTGATGCTAATCGACGTCGTGATGCTAATCGACGTCATGATGCTAATCGACGTCGTGATGCTAATCGACGTCGTGATGCTAATTGACGTGATGCTAATCGACGTCGTGATGCTAATCGACGTCGTGATGCTAATCGACGTGATGCTAATCGACCCTCGTGATGCTAATCGACCCTCGTGATGCTAATTGACCTCGTGATGCTAATCGACGTCGTGATGCTAATCGACCTCGTGATGCTAATTGACCTCGTGATGCTAATCGACGTTGTGATGCTAATCGACGTCGTGATGCTAATCGACGTCGTGATGCTAATCGACGTCGTGATGCTAATCGACGTCATGATGCTAATCGACGTCGTGATGCTAATCGACGTCGTGATGCTAATTGACGTGATGCTAATCGACGTCGTGATGCTAATCGACGTGATGCTAATCAACGTCATGATGCTAATCGACAACGTTTCTCTTCTTGGTTCCTGGTGTCTTTCTTCTGATGCTCAGGATCCATGCAGGCCATGAACAAAACGCGCCGCATCATGGAGGAGGGCGGGACCTTCTTCTCCAACGCCTTCGTGACCACGCCCATGTGCTGCCCGTCGCGTTCGAGCATGCTCACTGGGAAGTAAGTCTCAGCCAATCACAGCAGGCGCAGGTTCTTATCCAAACCCAACTGAACTGGATCTCAGCTTAGAACATTAGAAGTATTATAATTAGGTGGGAGGAAATTTAAAAATTAATTTTGTTTTATAAATTAATTGCAAATTAAAATTTTCCCTCTTTAAAAATAATTAGCAGATCCATTGGTCTCTTAGCGGCTTGATTTTTGTTGCCAGATTTATCTCAAACTTTAACTTGAATCAAGTCAGACTGACAAAGCTAGGCAGGAGAAGTGATGCTGCCCCTGCAGGTGGGAGGTTGCAGCAACACTGTAAATTTAATGTTTTTGACTATTTTTATGTCAAAAACATTGTGATGAACTCAATCAAGGAAACATCTATTTATTCTGGGTGAATTTCACAAAAACTGGAGCGACTGAAGAGTGGAAATATTTTATTTATTTTTTTTACTTCATTGTTTTAAAAAAATGTCCCATTGAAGAAAATAAGCCAAACTTAAAAACCAAAATAGTATTTTTCCTCTTTTTTTAAAGCTGCTTTTGAGTTGTAAAGAAGTGATTTCAGCTGGACTGGAGTCAAACTGTCCGTTAGTCTTGTAAAGGTCGCTGACCTCTGGTCCAGTTTGATCTGCTGCAACAGTTTTTACAACCGACCTGCTCATAAAAAGTCAGTCAGAACCAAATGGACCCGAGCCGCTGCGGTGAGAGTAAACTGCTGCTGGTTTAACTTGAAATGACGACGTTTCTACAGGGTTTTATTCTCCAGCTGAACTCGTCCTGATCTATTGAAATGTTTTATTTTCTAACTTTAGCTTTTCTCTCTCAGGTACGTCCACAACCACAACACCTACACCAACAACGAGAACTGCTCGTCGTTGTCGTGGCAACGCCAGCACGAACCACGCACCTTCGGCGTCTACCTCAACAACACGGGATACCGAACAGGTGAGTGTCTGGCTCCAACAGACCGGTCCGGTCCGGTCCGGTCCGGTCTAATGTTCTAGCAGCAGAGCTAATAGCTTTGGTTAGCGCTCTTAGCTAACGCTAATTTACTTTAGTGTTTTATGAACGAATAAATTTCAACATCAGCTGTTAAATTTCTTCAGTTAGTTATACATTTATATTCATGCTCTTATTTTGAAGTTCTATTTCCTGTCCTCTCTTCCTCCTAGTTATTTGATTTACAATTAGAATGTACACGAAACATGAAAACATTGTCGAACATATAAGTTATAATGAAATTAATTTCTTGTCGAGGGTCGTAAGCTAGCGCATTAGCACCGTAGCATTAGCTTCTGCTAAGGCCTGTTGATATGATGCTTTAACTAGGCTAATGTTGATGATTATTGCTTAGTTAGTTAGCATTCTCACTTCTGATGGTGGCTATCAACATGGTTCATGTTAGCACTTTAGCATTAGCTCCTGCTAAATACCATGATGGTTTAGCGTTTAGCATGAGAAAAGGGAACGCTTCTGATGAATAATTTAGTTAGCAGCTGATATGAAACATGTATTTGGTTCGTCATCAAGTTATTCAATAAAATCCTTTTGCCAATAAATGGAGTTAAACTCTAGGCGTCCAAAAGGCTCATTTGCTGGGATCAGGAAAGGGTGATGAGGAGAGCTGTTTCCCCGGAGATGAGGCGGGTTGGTTCCCGCAGCGCTCTGACTCTGTTGGTCGTCCCGGCAGCGTTCTTCGGGAAGTACCTGAACGAGTACAACGGGTCGTACGTTCCTGCGGGATGGAGGGAGTGGCTGGGCCTGGTGAAGAACAGCCGCTTCTACAACTACACACTGAGCCGCAACGGCGTCCGGGAGAAACACGGCGCGCAGTACCCTCAGGTCAGAGCGCCGCCGCTTCCGGAGCTTCGCTTTCAGCCCCTCTGGGTTTTAATCGGCCAAAGGTGGGTCCGTCCGGTTCGGTCCGGTCCAGATGCTCCTTCGGCTGCAACTACATGTAGATTCATCAAATTAGAACTTTTAGTGCCAGATTGAAGAGAAATACTGCTCAAGTTCTGGTTCCAACAGAACCTGGTCTACTGGACCATCAGGAGGGAACCAGCTTCTGATGGCTCTCTGGTCCAACAGACCCAGCTGGGTTCCAGCACTGAGGTCCGGTTCTGAGGATTCACTGATTCAGAAAGTTTTCTCTCTGTGTCTCCAGGACTACCTGACCGACCTGATCACAGCCGAGTCCATCCGCTATTTCCGCTCCTCGAAGCGGATCTACCCACACCGGCCGTCCTGATGGTTCTGAGCCACGCCGCGCCGCACGGACCCGAAGACTCGGCGCCGCAGTACAGCAACGCCTTCGCCAACGCATCACAGCACATGTAGGCGCACACTGTTCAACAAAACAAAACTTTATTAAGGTTCTGGAGGAGAAATATGCTCACACACACACACACACACACACACACACACACACACACACACACACACACACACACACCACACACACACACACACACACACACACACAATGGCACTAAGCCGGTGTAATCCAGCTGAACAATGCAGCCGCTCTGTTCTGCACCGCAGGATAAATCCTCAACCCACAATCCTGCAGACTCCCTGAGTTTCTTCATGGAGATTTGACAGCGAATCAAAGTCCAAGTCCTGAATCAGAAACACATGTCGGATCGTGTCGGATCCGTTCCCAGAGGAAGGCCGGCTGCTCCCGGGAAGCCGCTTAAATCCGTTTTTAGCGCAGCGGGTTTCTCTGCAGGAATCCTTTCTGCTCCACTCAGCGCTAGCGCCTCTAGCTGTCCAGGCTTTGGACCCAGATGAAGAGCAGCTGCAGTGTTTTATTTTGAAATAATGTGGATCAGGACTCAGGATGTAAATTTGAGGAACAAACAAGGTGGTTCTGAGTAAAAACCGGCCGATATCAGAAGCTATATCTGATCGTCCTGACCAGACGCTCATCCTGATGAAGCAGACTGCTCTTCATTACAAAGCTGATTCTGACCTTACAAAGTAAAGTTTACTCAATTTGCATCTTTTAAAGCAAAACACCATGAAAGGCACAAAAATAAAATGTATTCAATTAACCCAGTGGGCTTTACTGAAGCTCTACACATTTATCAGAAGCTAACGCTACAGCGACATGGTATTTAGCTGAAGCTAATGCTAAATCAATACATCATCTTAATGAAAGCTAATGCTAAAGCGCCTTGTTCATATCAAATTATTTCTTCTCATTGAGAGATTATAAACCTCAAGCACCAAATAATTTGAAAATATAATTTACTGATTTTATAAAGCAGCAGGACAATAGCAGCAGGGCGTTTCTATCGTCCTGCTAACATCCTGCTAATGCAGGATGTTAGCAGGACGATAGCAGCAGGGCGTTAGCAGGACATTAGCAGGACGATAGCAGCAGGGCGTTAGCAGGACGTTAGCAGGACGATAGCAGCAGGATATTAGCAGGATGTTAGCAGGACGATAGCAGCAGGGTGTTAGCAGGATGTTAGCAGGACGATAGCAGCTGGGCGTTAGCAGGATGTTAGCAGGACGATAGCAGCTGGGCGTTAGCAGGACGATAGCAGGACGATAGCAGCAGGGTGTTAGCAGGACATTAGCAGGACGATAGCAGCAGGGCGTTAGCAGGACGATAGCAGGACGATAGCAGCAGGGTGTTAGCAGGATGTTAGCAGGACGATAGCAGCAGGGTGTTAGCAGGATGTTAGCAGGACGATAGCAGCAGGGTGTTAGCAGGATGTTAGCAGGACGATAGCAGCTGGGCGTTAGCAGGACATTAGCAGGACGAAAGCAGCAGGGCGTTAGCAGGGCGTTAGCAGGACGATAGCAGGACGATAGCAGCAGGGTGTTAGCAGGATGTTAGCAGCAGGATGTTAGCAGGACGATAGCAGCAGGGCGTTAGCAGGACATTAGCAGGACGATAGCAGCAGGGCGTTAGCAGGACGATAGCAGGACGATAGCAGCAGGGTGTTAGCAGGATGTTAGCAGCAGGATGTTAGCAGGACGATAGCAGCAGGGCGTTAGCAGGACGTTAGCAGGATGTTAGCAGGACGACAGCAGTAGGGTGTTAGCAGGATGTTAGCAGCAGGATGTTAGCAGGGCGATAGCAGCAGGGCGTTAGCAGGATGTTAGCAGGACGACAGCAGCAGGGTGTTAGCAGGACGTTAGCAGGATGTTAGCAGGACGATAGCAGCAGGGCGTTAGCAGGATGCTAGCAGGATGTTAGCAGCAGGAAAGTCATTTGGGTCCCAAACGCACCTGGAGCAGGTCTGCTGGACCAGAACCGTTTAAAGCCGCAGGTTCTGCTGCTCCTGTCAGCTGTTTCAGGGAAGCCAAACAGATGTTTCCAGTTGTTCAGGCAGGAGCAGCCGAGCTCAGAGCCAGAAATGAAACGATGCCACAGAGGAGCGACGGGAGTCATTCATTATCCAACAGGAGCCTGTGTGTTTTTAATGAGTCTCCTGAACACGGCGGTAAAGAGCGAAAGTCTACGGTGGCCCTGAGGTGCAAAACACTACAACATTAACAAAAACACAACAACATTAACGAAAACACGACAACATTAACGAAAACACGACAACATTAAGGAAAGCACTACAACATTAACGAAAACACGACAACATTAACAAAAACACAACAACATTAACAAAAACACAACAACATTAACGGAAACACGACAACATTAACAAAAACACGACAACATTAACGGAAACACGACAACATTAACAAAAACACAACAACATTAACAAAAACACGACAACATTAACGAAAACACAACAACATTAACGGAAACACGACAACATTAACAAAAACACAACAACATTAACAAAAACACAACAACATTAAGGAAAGCACTACAACATTAACGAAAACACGACAACATTAACAAAAACACAACAACATTAACGAAAGCACTACAACATTAAGGAAAGCACTACAACATTAACGGAAACACGACAACATTAACAAAAACACGACAACATTAACGAAAACACAACAACATTAACAAAAACACAACAACATTAACAAAAACACAACAACATTAACGAAAACAACAACATTAACAAAAACACAACAACATTAACAAAAACACGACAACATTAACGAAAACACAACAACATTAACGAAAACACAACAACATTAACAAAAACACAACAACATTAACAAAAACACGACAACATTAACAAAAACACGACAACATTAACGAAAACACAACAACATTAACAAAAACACAACAACATTAACAAAAACACGACATTAACGGAAACACAACAACATTAACGAAACACAACAACATTAACAAAAACACAACAACATTAACAAAAACACGACAACATTAACGAAAACACAACAACATTAACAAAAACACAACAACCATTAACAAAAACACGACATTAACGGAAACACAACAACATTAACGGAAACACGACAACATTACAAAAACACAACAACATTAACTAAACACGACAACATTAACAAAAACACAACAACATTAACAAAACCAAGACAACATTAACGAAAACACGACAAACATTAACGAAAGCACGACAACATTAACGAAAACACAACACATTAAGGAAAGCACTACACATTAACGGAAACACGACAACATTAAGAAAAACACAACACATTAAGAAAAACACAACAACATTAAGAAAAACACAACAACATTAAGGAAAACACAACGGAAGAGGTAGGTCCCCGTGGAGACCTAAGAAGTCGCTGATTGGACGACAGGTCGTTTTACTTTTGAACCGGAAGTTCTTCTGGCTTTACTTGATTGCTGAAACAAGAATGTTCTCAGTGATCCAAACCTTAGTACTGTTATTCGTAAATATTTTGAGTCAGGACATACTGATACTGGTGATACTGGACATGCTCCAGACCACCACGAAGTGTCGGTTAGCATGCGTTCAGTAAAGACTCATTTTGAAAGTAGCAGGGCTGCATTGAAGAGGCACTACTCTCCACTTCCTGAAGTGAGACGTGTCATTATGTCCGAGCTTAGAGGACCAGGGCAATTTTTGGCTATCGGACCATGTGGCAAGTTCTCAAACTAAAACACAACCTGCGTGTCAAACGTGATGTTGTAATGAGACTGCTGAGGCAGCTGAATCCTCAAGGCATCGCTCTGAGAACTCGCAGGTTTCCAAGACGCACGTATCCCTCCACGGGGCCCAATTACATATAGCATGTAGATGGCTACGACAAAACTGAAGCCATTCGGCTTGGCCATCTCAGGTGCATTGATAGTTTTTCGAGAAGGATAATGATATAAGACAGCTGTGGAAAGATAGTTTAAATCCCAAGGCCACTTACCTTTGAGAAATGAAGAGAACATTTTCCTGGTAAATTAATTGGTTCCCATGTTTTGGAAGGGACACATTATTTCAGGTGGCTAAATATATGGTTCCCCCTCATATCTCTGGCAAATAAAGAGGAAATGTTTTCAAATAATTTGTTGTTGATGAAGAGATGATAAGCACAGTTGAAGACTTGTTGGTAAATAGTCCCCATGTTTTGAAGGGGGAACAGATTATTTTAGTCACCTAAATATATGGCTTTCCCCTCATAACTCTGGCAAACAAGGAGCAAATGCTACCAAAATCACAGGATTTATTGTTGATGATGAGAGGAATAAACAGAGAAAAAATCTTGCTGGTAAATTAAGTTGTTCCCATATTATGGAGGGGACCAGATTATAATTTCCTCCATTCTTTCCTACCCTTACCGAACCTTGGGGAAATAAAGAACAACTGTTTCCAAATTCTCAAAATCTTTACATACACACTACGTGTTGGGAAAACTGTGTTTGGTGCCTGACTTATTTCTGCCAGGCTTACGTGAGAAACGTTGGAAAAAGAGCGATTCTCTTGGCGTATAAATAACAAAAAACAGCATCAGAAGATCTTGTTTATTTATTTATTATACAATTTTTTAAACAACAGCTGCCAATTAAACTCAATGTTACAACCTTCACATGATTATATGAGTTGTTTTACCGAGAAATCGATCAGAAGCGACGTGAAAATGGTCAGATCCGCCTCATTCGTCTCTCTGGCTGTAATGATCGCTCCCGACACAGGGGAACCCAATTTAGCACCTACCCGAACTTTCATTTCTACCTTTTGTTTTAACCCCTTTCTCCCAAGAGAATACTTTGGTCGCTCCTCATTTTTCTATTCAAGGAAGGTGCTGAGGGCTGGTGTACGGCAGGATGGGACAGTCTGTTGTGCTAGAAGTAAAGCAAAGAAAAAATGTCGCACATCACATTCATGCAAACAGACGATATGTATTACGAACTGAAGTAAAGCTGCCACAAGTATAATTAAGTGCGAGTTCGCTTCCAAAAAGGCGGCTAGCCTGATCGCAGTGCAGCAGAACCAGAACGACACCAATTATCCTAAAAAAGTAGTGCCTAAGGCTGTAACGGACCTTACGATATATAGCTAATACAATTCTGCTGTATTATAGCGACTTTGTGTACTTTTAATTGCATTTATAATGAACAACTAGATGACAGTGGACACGGTCTGGAGACCACTAGCGTTAGCAAGTTACTACATCCATAAGAAATATGAATCTTCCTTTATGCTTTTTAACTTACTTGAACATTGTGGAGTATCCTCCATACAAGTTTCTTGAAGCCTCTTGCCACAATTACTGCAAAAATTTGGTGACGGCTCAACCACCTCCTTCCCACAGTTCGGGCAATACATGGCGAAGTGACTGTATTCCCGCTTCCTTAGGTTTTCAATCAAACGAAGCACTCCAGCATAACTTCCGGTTCAAAAGAGAAACGACCTGTCGTCCAATCAGCGACTTCTTAGGTCTCCCTGGGACCTACCTCTTCCGTTGTGTTTTCCTTAATGTTGTAGTGCTTTCGTTAATGTTGTTGTGTTTTTGTTAATGTTGTCGTGTTTCCGTTAATGTTGTCGTGTTTTTGTTAATGTTGTGTTTTCGTTAATGTTGTTGTGTTTTCGTTAATGTTGTTGTGTTTTCGTTAATGTTGTCGTGTTTTCGTTAATGTTGTTTGTGTTTTCGTTAATGTTGTCGTGTTTTCGTTAATGTTGTTGTGTTTTCGTTAATGTTGTTGTGTTTTCGTTAATGTTGTTGTGTTTTCGTTAATGTTGTTGTGTTTTCGTTAATGTTGTAGTGTTTTCGTTAATGTTGTTGTGTTTTCCTTAATGTTGTAGTGCTTTCGTTAATGTTGTTGTGTTTTCGTTAATGTTGTTGTGTTTTTGTTAATGTTGTTGTGTTTTCGTTAATGTTGTTGTGTTTTCGTTAATGTTGTTGTGTTTTTGTTAATGTTGTTGTGTTTTCGTTAATGTTGTCGTGTTTTCGTTAATGTTGTTGTGTTTTCGTTAATGTTGTCGTGTTTTTGTTAATGTTGTGTTTTTCGTTAATGTTGTTGTGTTTTCGTTAATGTTGTTGTGTTTCGTTAATGTTGTCGTGTTTTCGTTAATGTTGTCGTGTTTTCGTTAATGTTGTCGTGTTTTCGTTAATGTTGTTGTGTTTTTGTTAATGTTGTCGTGTTTTGTTAATGTTGTGTTTTTGTTAATGTTGTTGTGTTTTCGTTAATGTTGTTGTGTTTTGTTAATGTTGTTGTGTTTTTGTTAATGTTGTTGTGTTTTCGTTAATGTTGTTGTGTTTTTGTTAATGTTGTTGTGTTTTTGTTAATGTTGTTGTGTTTTTCGTTAATGTTGTTGTGTTTTTGTTAATGTTGTAGTGTTTTGCACCTCAGGACCACCGTAAAGTCCTTCCTAACATTTATTAAAACAGAAACACTTTAACTCAACATCATTTGAAATGCTCGGCTCACTTTACTGCAGGTTGTTTCAACCATTTTGCAGCCTGGAAAAGTTTACATGCCATGCATCATCTAAAATATTCATAAACAACAGAGACGGTCCTTGTTTCACTCCAGAGAATAAAAACATTTTAGTTTCTGTTTACTGGAAAACCAAACACTGATAGATCAGATCACTGTCTTCTTCTTCTTCTTCTTCTTTTCCTTCTTCTTCAACTTCCTGCTGCTGCTGGTTTGTAAAGGAAAAACCTCCAGGTGACTGAAGCCGATTAGCTTCATGAAACTGTTGGTTTTTTAGACGTAATGATGTAACAATGATGAAAGAGTAATCGTCAGCTACTTCTGACTTTTACTTGATTAAAATATGCTACAGTGGTTCTGTTATGATCAGGGAACAGTTTTTGGGTCGCAGCATGTCATCCATCACATGACCTTAAAATAGATGCGTTTTTTGGCTGATGGGCCAAAAAAATCCAGAATGTTTCTAATCACAGATTCCTCTCCTTTTCCACCAGTACTCCCAGTTACAACTACGCCCCAAACCCAGACAAGCACTGGATCATGCGCTACACGGGCCCCATGAAGCCCATCCACATGGAGTTCACCAACGTGCTGCAGAGGAAGCGGCTGCAGACGCTGCTGTCTGTGGACGACAGCATGGAGCAGGTGAGAACCGGAGCGGAGCGGGCAAAACCCGAACCAGAACGGGCAAAACCCGGACCGGGGCGGGTAAAACCCAGACCGGGGCGGGCAAAACCCGTAGCTGGACCGGGCGGGTAAAACCCAGACCGGGGCGGGTAAAACCCAGACCGGGCGGGTAAAACCCGGACCGGGCGGGCAAAACCCGGACCGGGGTGGGCAAAACCCTGACCGGGGCGGGTAAAACCCGGAGCCTTACCGGAACGTGTAAAACCCGGAGCCTTACCGGAACGTGTAAAACCCGGAGCCGGACCGGGCGGGCAAAACCCGGACCGGGGCGGGTAAAACCCGGAGCGGACCGGGGCGGGCAAAACCCGGAGCCGAACCGGAACGGGCAAAACCCGGAGCCGAACCGGAACGGGTAAAACCTGGCTGCGTTTCTGATCCAAACTGTTTGATTCTGTCTCAGCTCTTCAACATGCTGGTGGAGACGGCAGAGCTGGAGAACACCTACATCATCTACACGTCTGACCATGGCTACCACATCGGGCAGTTCGGCCTAGTTAAAGGTGAGGGAGCCATTCAGCCAATCATGTTTTAATAGAAACTGTCATCCAAACATTCATGTGACCCTGTCATTTTCATTTGTATTATTTAATTTATACCAATAATCAGTTTTTTAGATCAGTGTCGCACATCTGGACTTTGCAATTTTAAAATGTTTTAGCTTATTTTAGCCTAATTTTGTTCAGTTTAGAATAGTTTATCTTAACCTCTGATACATTTTTTCAGTTCAGTTAATTGTATCTTATTTTAGTTTGTTTAACTTTGCTTTACGACCAGATGTTAGCTTACTTTATTTTATTTTAGCTTAGTTAGCTTAGCTTGGTTAGTTTAGCTAGCTGAAGCGTTTTTGCTCATCTTATTTTACCTCACCTTATGTTACTAAGCTTAGCTTAGTTTATGTTAGCTTTCTTACCTTTCTTTATTTTGACTAAGCTTGCCTTAGCACAATTAGCTTACTTTACTTTAGCTTCCTCAGTTACTTACCACAGATAGACCTGTAGATCAAATCAAGTTAAAAGTGACGACTGAAGTTCAGTGGAAAGAAATGAAACATTAGCATTGAATCTGCATTAACCAGAAACCTGAAGGTTTAGCACAAAGCTAACCGTTGACCTCTGCCCCTGCTGTGTGTAACGCTCTCGGCTGTTGTCTGCAGGTAATCCATGCCGTATGAGTTTGACATCAGAGTCCCGTTTTACATCAGAGGACCGAATGTGGAGCAAGGCGGCATGTAAGCTCAAACAGCAGGAACTCATCCGCTCACTCACCACTTCCACACAGATCAGTTCAGGTGTTTAAAGTGGAAATCAGGGAAGAGTTTTCCCCAGCATCAGTTCGCTCATCTGGAAGAACTTTAAAGCTCTTGTGTTAGAAATATGCATCCAACAAACGGTAAAACAGATCAGTGTGACAGCAGAATGCATCACAGCGCAGCAGATTAAATTCCCGTGTTCTGCAGAGCTGCTAAAGTCGATTACTGGCCTCAGAGCTGCAGACTTACCGGGTCGCGCTTTCCGTGCTCTGCTCCTGTTTCTGCTCTCTTCTCTGTTCACATGAATTATTTACTTCCAATGTTCAACAGAACCGCATCCACACACATTCACTCCTCCTGATGCTGCAGTCTGAGCTTTTCCAGTTCCATTTTTTAAAAGTTTAAAGCCTAAAACAGAAGGAGGCTAACAGCTCCGAGGCTAACGGCTCTGAGGCTAACGGCTCTGAGGCTAACGGCTCTGAGGCTAACAGCTCCGAGGCTAACGGCTCTGAGGCTAACAGCTCTGAGGCTAATGGCTCTGAGGCTAACGGCTCTGAGGCTAACAGCTCTGAGGCTATTGGGTCTGAGGCTAATGGATCTGAGGCTAACGGGTCTGAGGCTAACAGCTCTGAGGCTATTGGGTCTGAGGCTAATGGATCTGAGGCTAACGGGTCTGAGGCTAATGGCTCCGAGGCTAACGGCTCTGAGGCTAACAGCTCTGAGGCTAATGGCTCTGAGGCTAACACAATAACATCCTTTTGGGGCGGAGACTTTCACACTGTGTGTGTTTCAGAAACCCCCACATGGTCCTGAACATCGACCTGGCTCCCACCATCCTGGACATCGCAGGCCTGGACACGCCGCCGACATGGACGGGAAGTCCATCCTGTCCCTGTTGGACACGGACAAACCCGCCAACAGGTGAGATGATGTAAACAAAACGGTCGTCTCAGTTTGACTTATCGCACCGAAACTGATGCTGATTCACATGGTTCCAAAACCAATCAACAGCCTTTAAATGATCAATCAACAGCCTTTAAATGATCAATCAACAGCCTTTAAATGATCAATCAACAGCCTTTAAATGATCAATCAACAGCCTTTAAATGATCAATCAACAGCCTTTAAATGATCAATCAACAGCCTTTAAATGATCAAACCCTGAGATCAGCAGGATGATATTAATAATATTGACCTGTAGCATATTTACTATCGTTGCAACTCCACAGAACCCCATTTCAGCAAATTTGAACTGTCCCTTGTTACATGTTAACAATGTTTATCACATGTTGTCCATGTGATAAACTCAACTCGGGGTCTGTGCTGCTTTTTTGTAAGTAAAGTAAAGTAAGGTGAAAACCGCTCTAGAGCACCCCCTGGTGGATATTTTGTTATATTGTTTAGTGACGTCGAATCATAAGGAGAATATCCAAGATGGTGGAACGCAGCACCGAGCGGTTCATAGTTACGCTGTTTGCTATTCTTGTACGTTGTGTGTCGGACAAGATTTGTTCGTAAGTATCTGTTAATTGCCTTTTGTTTTATGTAACTTTAATGTAAATGTTTTATTTTAGCTCGTAACAAAAAGTTAGTTCGTTTGCTAATACGCAGTTTTGTATGTTTCAGTTTACGATGGCTAAAGTGATGGCAGTGGTCAGAGGCCACTCTTCAATAAACCGCTAAAAAGGAGAGAAGTTTGGTTATTGGAGCGTCGTTGTCTAGCTGTCTAGCTGCTGAAGAAATTGAGAACTCAGGGCGGAGGACAGCGTAGGGTCATAATTATAAATACTCTGAAGTTTAAATAAATCCAGTCATCAACCCGATCAGATGCATTGATTACCTGATCGGTTGTTGCTGTTTCCAGGTGTGAGTCGGCAGCAATGATTTTACAGAAGCAACTGTAGCCGAATGCTAGTCAGTTTTGTTTTGTCATTTGTGAGTTGAGGTAATTTAGGAATATTTGCCAGAAATGTAGTGATTTTTCTTATTAAAAGTAAATCTTCATGTATAAGAGAAAAGATGAAAATAAGAAGCAAAAAACTGGACACAAATATTTTTTCACCACATCAAACTTAAACTTCAGGTAGAAGCTGGAAACACTGCCACCTGTAGGTGGGAGTCAGCATCACTTAAACCCAACAGGGTTTTTTTTGCCAGTTGTGCAGAAAATTTGCAATACATTCACAATGAAGCATAAACAAACATCTGGGATGTGTTCCTCATAAAACGAGCGATTGCTGGCAGATTCTGGAGCTCAGGTTGGATATGAATGGAGAGCCAGGAGCACCACAGGAAGTAACGCTGCCTTCCTTTCCTCCAGGTTCCAGGTGAGCAGGAAGCCGAAGGTGTGGAGAGACTCCTTTCTGGTGGAGAGAGGGTAAATATGTCTGCATCTTCAACCCGGTTTAATGATCCGGGTTCTGGTTCTGGACCGAGAATGAGACGGACCAGGTCCGAGACGCTTCCAGAATCAATCAGTTTCCCATCTGATCAGATTTATCAGTTTCTCCTCCTGAAATGAAGTTCGAGGAGCAAGGCTCTGTGTCACGTCATATTTACTCCCCAGGAAACAAATAAAAGTTCCAGCAATCTGAAGAATGGAAGATAGTATTCAGGAATTATTACTGGAACCAGAACTTGTTCAGTCCAAAACATCAGATTCAACACACTTAGATATTTTCCTGCAATGAACCCGAATTGCAATAAGAAGCTAATTGTTTTGCTGTTTTGACAGGAAGTTGCTGCACCAGCAGGCAGAGGGGAAGGAGGTTTCTCAGGAGGAGAACTTCCTGCCCAAACACCAGCGAGTCAAAGACCTGTGTCAGAGAGCCGAGTACCAGACGCCCTGCCAGCAGACTGGACAGGTAGCAGACACACACCGGGTTCTTCTGCTGGTCCGGTTACCTCACAGGGTCGCATCCCGCCTGGTTCTTCTGGCTCCCTCCAACGTTTTCAGTCCCTTTAGGCTGAATCAGTAGCTCCAGTCCGTTCGCCCAGTCAGAGTCTAGTCCGGTTGGTGAGGTGCGAACGCTAACTGAACTCTGGTCCTCCAGAACTCCGTCTGGGTTCGGCTGAACTCTGGTTCGGTGTGAATGTGAAGGCCAAGCGGATCGGGGAACGACCCGGCTGCCGGTCATTCATGGAGCCGCTGCAGAACCGGTTGGTTCCGGTTCTGAACGGATCCCTGAGTGGCTCCGGGTTTTTACTGTCGTGTCTCTGTGTGTCCAGAAGTGGCAGTGTGTGGAGGACGCCTCCGGAAAACTGCGGCTCTTCAAGTGCAAGAATGAAGGGGGCGGGGCCACGAGCTTCCAGAGAGGCGGGGCCAGCCTCCAGCGTCCAATCAGCATCAAGTCTCAGCTGTACGCTCCCGACCCGGACGCCTGCAGCTGCGACTTCAGCGACCTCCTGCCCGCAAGCCTCCGGCCCTCCGTGACGAGGTCGTTCAAGAACAAGCCCTTCTTCTCCAAGAAGAGTGAGTGTTACTGCCGCTGGCCAGCAGGGGGCAGCGTGAGGGACTGTAGCTGAACTCAGGCAGTTTCTCTTCTTCTGTCTCAGAGCTTAAAACCCTGAAAAGTTTCTCAAGGAACCGCTACAGCCGCTCGCTGTCCGAGCTGAACGCTTACCCTGGCAACCAGACCCTGGTGGGCGGAGCCAGTCAGAATGAACCCGAGGACGAGTTCAGCGGGATGGGAGCCGTCACCGACGCGCCGGCGCCATCTAGTGCCGTCAGAGTGACTCACAGGTCAGAGAAGCTTTACTTTTCAAATCCACCTGGTTCTGGTTCTGGTTCTGGTCTGACCGGGCCGTCTGCTGCAGGTGCTCCATCCTGTCCAACGCCTCGGTGAAATGCGACACCAGAGTTTATAAATCTCTGCAGGCCTGGAAGGACCACAAGCTGCACATCGACCACGAGGTACGGCCTAGTCAAAGGATTCTCTCAGGTCTTCCCATCTGGAGTGACAGGATGTCAGGCTGCAGCAGTACTTCCTGTTTGAATCGGACTCTGATATCCTGGTTCTGTTTGGTTCCGACTGGAGGAACCGACCCAAACAGACGGGATCAGATCCAGAACAGCAGAAATAAAACGTCTTCTGTCTTCAGATCGAGACTCTGCAGACCAAGATCAAGAACCTGAGAGAGGTCAGAGGTCACCTGAAGAAAGCCCGCCCCCTGGAGTGCGACTGCAACAAGTACCTGTAAGCTAACGACCAGAACCCGACCAATCAGTGGCTTCATCCAACCGTCGTCCATCCATCCAGGCATCCAACTATTCATCCATCCATCATCCATCTCCTTCTATTCTGTGTCTCATCCTGTTTTCTATTGAAATATAATTCTAGAATTTCTTCTCTTTCTTGTTAAATTGGACCAACTGAGCTAACAGCTGACTTTGTGTTTGCAGGTACAAAACCAAACTGAGGAAGAAGCTTCGCTTCAGAGGAGGAGGCCTTCATCCCTTCAGGTGAGTCAGAAAGGTCGCAGTGGGGTCGTCCTCATCACCAGTGTGGTCACCTGGCAACACCTGTGTGTGTGTGTGTGTGTGACAGCAGGAAGGGCGGGGCCTGGAATAAGAAGATCTGGCTTCAGAAGGAGCAGAAGAGGAGGAAGAAGATGAGGAAGATGATCAAGAGGATCAGGAACAACGACACGTGTTCGATGCCCGGACTCACCTGCTTCACACACGACAACCAGCACTGGCACACCGCACCCTTCTGGACATGTACGGCACACACACACACACACCGCCAAAGTGGTTCCTGCTTCAGAGGTTAGAGGTCATCCTTAGGGATGAAAGGTTATGTGTGATGACTGGGTGTGTTCCAGTGGGACCGTTCTGCGCCTGCACCAGCGCCAACAACAACACCTACTGGTGCCTGAGGACCATCAACGAGACGCACAACTTCCTGTTCTGTGAGTTCGCCACCGGATTCCTGGAGTACTTTGACCTGAGCACCGACCCGTACCAGGTACACACACACACATACACCGACCCGTACCAGGTACACACACACACACAGACCCGTACCAGGTACACACACACACCCGTACCAGGTACACACACACACGTACCAGGTACACACACACACGTACCAGGTACACACACACACACGTACCAGGTACACACACACACACCCGTACCAGGTACACACACACACACACAGACCCGTACCAGGTACACACACACACGTACCAGGTACACACACACACGTACCAGGTACACACACACACGTACCAGGTACACACACACACACCCGTACCAAGTACACACACACCAGTACCAGGTACACACACACACACGTACCAGGTACACACACACCAGTACCAGGTACACACACACACACACACACACACCCGTACCAGGTACACACACACACACGTACCAGGTACACACACACACACACAGACCCGTACCAGGTACACACACACACACACAGACCCGTACCAGGTACACACACACACGTACCAGGTACACACACACACACCGACCCGTACCAGGTACACACACACACACACCGACCCGTACCAGGTACACACACACACACCGACCCGTACCAGGTACACACACACACGTACCAGGTACACACACACACGTACCAGGTACACACACACACCCGTACCAGGTACACACACACACACACACACCCGTACCAGGTACACACACACACGTACCAGGTACACACACACACACACACACCCGTACCAGGTACACACACACACGTACCAGGTACACACACACACACACACACACCCGTACCAAGTACACACACACACACACACACCCGTACCAGGTACACACACACACTCACACCGACCCGAACATGAGTAAATAAAGTATTTTGTTTTATTTCCTGTTTAGAATATTTACTGGAAATGTTCTTTAATGTGTTTAATTCTGACTTTCATCTGATGTTTGAATCAGAGATTAAAACCTAAATCCCTCCTGGATTTTCCAAACTTTCGGTTTCTGATGAGTTTTGAAAACGACTGAATATGAATCTGTTTTGAAAACCGTCCTCAGCTGCTGGAGCTCAGAGATTTCGTCTCTGTTGAGATGCCACCCAGATTCTGAATCCCTGTTGTTTCCGTCTTTCTGCGTACAGCTGATAAACGCCGTCAGCTCGTTGGACCGGACGGTTCTGAACCAGCTGCACGTCCAGCTGATGGAGCTCAGAGGCTGCAAGGGTCACAAGCAGTGCAATCCTCGCACGCGCTCAGTAGAGCTGGGTAGGACGGACACACACATGCGCACACACTATGACTCTCGCCATCAAACCCGGATCTAAAACACACATCGCCGTATTTCAGTTATGTCATCAGACTAAAACTAAAACTGTAAAAGTGGGACACAGACATGATAGTGGGCCGAGCACACAGCCCTGAGGAACGCCGCTGCTCATTCTGAGGGTCGTCATATGTTCATCAGCAACATGGTGATGCTGTTCAAGCTGCAAAATAACTACCGGCTCTGAACTCACTGGTTTCACTGGTTTCACTGGAAGTGAGCTTTAAATTAAATCTTCAACCACATAACATGTTTAATGACGGTGATTCACTGAATCGGTCAGTAAAGCAGGAAATGAGGATATTTTGCTCCAGCCGACATGAACACAGAGATGGTCAATAAATATAATATTTATGTTAAAGGAGATAAATTTCACCAAAATAATCTCAGCTTATGGTTCCTTCGTCTCGGCTGGTGGTGCGTTCAGGTGACCTCTGTTCACACCAGCAATCAGGTTGTTTGTTTCCAGGAGTCGTTGCTTACTAACCAATCAGATGATCTTTTCAGCAGGAGGGCGGGCTCATGGCGGCTTTGGTGACTACAGGTACACACACACCGACACACACACACACTGACACACACACACACACTCTGAGTGACTTCCTGCCGCGCTCTGAGGGATGGCGGTGCAGACGGTGTGTTTGGCTGAGTGTGTAACTGTGTGTTTGTTGCATCAGGCTGTTTGAAAGGAGGAAGTGGCCGAAAGTGAAGAAGCCTTCATCATCCCGAACGCTGTGAGTCTTCCTCCATGTTCTCCGTTATGATTGGCCTGCATGGGGCAACTTCCTGCAGGACGCCTCCGTCCTGTCTGCCCGACACACACACACACACACACACACACACACACACACGCACACACACAAACACACACACACATGCACACACACACACACACAAACACACACGCACACACAAACACACACACGCACACACATGCACACACACACAAACACACACGCCTTATCACAACTAATGCTTTCTATCCACACTATAAAGAGACTGAAGCTCGTTGATTTTTAGAGGAAGCATCAGCTGTGACTAATCGTCTGTTCGGTGCTGAGACGAGACAAACGTCTGCAGTTAGCAGAGACGTTAGCGTCCAAACGTCTGCAGTTAGCAGAGACGTTAGCATCCAAACGTCTGCAGTTAGCAGAGACGTTAGCGTCCAAACGTCTGCAGTTAGCAAAGACGTTAGCGTCCAAATGTCTGCAGTTAGCAGAGACGTTAGCGTCCAAACGTCTACAGTTAGCAGAGACGTTAGCGTCCAAACGTCTGCAGTTAGCAGAGACGTTAGCGTCCAAACGTCTGCAGTTAGCAGAGACGTTAGCGTCCAAACGTCTGCAGTTAGCAGAGACGTTAGCGTCCAAACGTCTGCAGTTAGCACAGACGTTAGCGTCCAAACGTCTGCAGTTAGCAGAGACGTTAGCGCGACGATGGTGAAGCTTCTGCCCCGATTCACTGCAGAGAAAGGACATTTTACTGAAACTGAGCAATTCACCAGATCTAAACCATCCACAAAGTCCAACACTGAAGACGCTCAGACAGCCTGCAGACAGCCTGCAGACCGGCTGCAGAAAAACTGCAGACAGGCATGAGACAGGCTGCAGACAAGCTGCAGACAGGCTGCAGACAGGCTGCGGACAACCTGCAGACAGGCTGCGGACAGGCTGCAGACAGGCTGCGGACAGGCTGCAGACAAGCTGCAGACAGGCTGCAGTCAGGCTGCAGACAAGCTGCAGACAGGGTGCAGACAGGCTGCAGACAAGCTGCAGACAGGCTGCAGACAGGCTGCAGACAGGCTGCAGACAAGCTGCAGACAGGCTGCAGACAAGCTGCAGACAGGCTGCAGACAAGCTGCAGACAGGCTGCAGACTAGCTGCAGACAGCCTGCAGACAGGCTGCAGACAAGCTGCAGACAGCCTGCAGACAGGCTGCAGACAAGCTGCAGACAGCCTGCAGACAGGCTGCAGACAGCCTGCAGACAGGCTGCAGACAAGCTGCAGACAAGCTGCAGACAGCCTGCAGACAGGCTGCAGACAGGCTGCAGACAGGCTGCAGACAAGCTGCAGACAGGCTGCAGACAAGCTGCAGACAGCCTGCAGACAGGCTGCAGACAAGCTGCAGACAGGCTGCAGACAGCCTGCAGACAGGCTGCAGACAGGCTGCAGACAGGCTGCAGACAAGCTGCAGACAGGCTGCAGACAGCCTGCAGACAGGCTGCAGACAAGCTGCAGACAGCCTGCAGACAGGCTGCAGACAGGCTGCAGACAAGCTGCAGACAGGCTGCAGACAAGCTGCAGACAGGCTGCAGACTAGCTGCAGACAGCCTGCAGACAGGCTGCAGACAAGCTGCAGACAGCCTGCAGACAAGCTGCAGACAAGCTGCAGACAGCCTGCAGACAGGCTGCAGACAGCCTGCAGACAGGCTGCAGACAGGCTGCAGACAGGCTGCAGACAAGCTGCAGACAGGCTGCAGACTAGCTGCAGACAGCCTGCAGACAGGCTGCAGACAAGCTGCAGACAGCCTGCAGACAGGCTGCAGACAAGCTTCACTCTGAGGGGAATCACTGCAGCCAGGGCCGGCCCAAGGCAGAAGCTAACCAAGCAGCTGCTTCGGGCCACCAAGGGGCCCGTCAGTGGTGCTAATATTTATTTTTGGAATAATTTCTGTTATTATTATGTCAAAAACACAATTTCACCATGAACTGATTTGTTTTTACAATAATATATATTTGATCATGTATGTAGAAATGTTAATTTTATTGATAAACATGAAATAAATAAATTGCTCTTGTGCCCCCTGCTGGCCGCGGTAGGTACCGCACGCTTCTGTGCAGAGCATCCAAACGTCCAAAGCTCCGGTCAGAAGTTAAATCAGCAAAACAATGTGTCAGAAACAGATTTACGCTTCAGCCAGCGAGAAAAGAAAGAACAGAAAGAGCCAGGATAAAGTTTGTTTTAATGAGCCTTTATAATATAATGTAAAGATAATAAAGCTGCTAACAGAAATGACCTTGACGACCCGGACCGGTCCAGTTCTGCAACATTTAAGCTGCGTCTTTATGTGAAATTGAGTTTAAATGTTGAGTTGATTCTCCTGGTGGACATTTCTGAGGTATTTTGGCCTCAAACTGTTTGATAAGAATAATTAAAACTCGTCCAGCTAAATGTTGAGAGGCTGCAAGCTGCTGCAGGATGAGCTGCTGAGAAAAATCATTTGAAGGCTCAGAACCGACCCGGTACTGGTACCGGTACCGGTCCACATTCTGAGGGCAAAAAGACTCACCTGGGATAAATTACATTAGTAGCTGTTGGAGCTGAAGATAAACTCGTTGAATGTGACGAATGTTTCTGCACTGATTGCAGTTTTCTGGCCGATCCTGGTTCTGATTTTGGCTCATATGAATTTATTTGGTCTGAAATGTTGAAAGCAGCAGGAAAGTTGCTAACAATGATTATTAGCTGTAAACGTTCAGACTGACCTGGTCAGAAGGACAGAGATGATCATCAGATCACGATGCCCCAAAATGAAGGAAATCGGAGCCAGAAATCAGCTGCTTGATAAAAGCAGCCAGAGATGCAGTCGGTTTACAGCCGGTGAGTCAATGATCCAGTGATCGGGCTGCTGATTGGGCCACGTTGTTAGCAGAACCAAAGGCTCCATCGGTCTCGGGGCCCCATGCAGGTTTGGGCCGGCCCTGGCTGAAGCTCTTTCTGATTGGCTAAATCTGCTGTTGGGTTTTGTTTGTTCCCACCGTCGCCTTAACAACAGCGTTTGTGTTTCAGGTTGTGTGTTTCCGCCTCAGTCGTCTCACTGGACCCAAAGTGAGCGGCGGCAGGTTTAACCCTCAGGTTCTGTGTTTGTGTCCAGAGGTCCGATCTGGGACGGCTGGAAGGGATAAGCTTCCCAATTGGCTGACACCGGATCTAGACTCCGCCCACCGCAGCCCTCTGAAGCAGGAAGGCGTGGCCATTGAGGTGACATCACAGCTCGACCGCCACGCCCCTGTGTCAACGGTCAGCCAATCACCTTCTGCTACTTTTGTGACATCACTGGGAGAGACGCTGGGAGGAAACGCTGGACGCGCCTCTTCATCATCTGCCCCTCCCTCCTCTTCCTCCTCCTCTCTGTCGCCCTGAGGAGGAGCAGGAGGAGCAGGAGCAGGAGGAGAACAGGGAAAGGAGTTTGTAACATTTAGGAAGCATTTTCCCTGAGTTTTGCCTGCCAGGCGTTCCAGATAAATTCCTCCCAATTCTTGTCTGATTTTGAATTCAATTTGAGAAAATTTCTTCTTTTTAGATGATGAGTCAGAATCCCTCTTCCTCCTCCTCTTCCTCCCTTTGGCCGCCTTCGTCTCGTGTTTGGATTTAGTTCGTCTGCAAGGCGCTGAAGAGCCGCTACTGACGTCACCACGAATGTGGTCATGTGACTTCCTCCTTTAACTTCACTGTTGGTTACCATGGTGACCGACAGCATTACTAACCAGGACCGCGGTTCCCACGGCGCCACGACGAGAACTGTTCTGATTGGAGGAGGACTTTCTGACGTCTCGAGAGCCAATCAGAGACAGGACTCTGTTTCTGTGTGTTTGATTTGTAATCACCTTCCTCCTCCTCCGTTTTACCCACTGAGCTGATGGAGGATCACGTCTGGAGGAAGGAAAAGCTTCCAGGAAACATGACTGGATTCACACAGGAAGTGGAGACGTCAGCTTCCTGTCTGCAGAGTTTCGTTTCAGGATTCATTCATAAAGTGGTTTCTGTTCAGGACGTCTCTGTTGGGCTTTTCTCCTACATTTCCCACAATGCCTTTCATTTGTGGAGTTGCTGTTCAGCATGTCGGCTGAAGCTAGCCAGCTGAAGCTAGTGTGCTGAAGTTAGCCAGCTGAAGCTAGCGAGCTAAAGCTAGCCAACTGAAGCTAGCGTGCTGAAGTTAGCCAACTGAAGCTAGCCAGCTGAAGCTAGCGAGCTGAAGTTAGCGTGCTGAAGTTAGCCAGCTGAAGTTAGCGAGCTGAAGCTAGCCAGCTGAAGTTAGCCAGCTGAAGCTAGCGAGCTGAAACCAGCCAGCAGAAGCTAGCGTGCTGAAGTTAGCCAGCTGAAGCTAGCGAGCTGAAGCTAGCCAGCTGAAGTTAGCCAGCTGAAGCTAGCGAGCTGAAGCTAGCCAGCAGAAGCTAGCGTGCTGAAGTTAGCCAGCTGAAGCTAGCGAGCTGAAGCTAGCGTGCTGAAGTTAGCCAGCTGAAGTTAGCGAGCTGAAGTTAGCGTGCTGAAGTTAGCCAGCAGAAGCTAGCGTGCTGAAGCTAGCGTGCTGAAGTTAGCCAGCTGAAGCTAGCGTGCAGAAGTTAGTGAGCTAAAGTTAGCCAGCTGAAGTTAGCGAGCTAAAGCTAGCCAACTGAAGCTAGCGTGCTGAAGTTAGCCAGCTGAAGCTAGCCAGCTGAAGCTAGCCAGCAGAAGCTAGCGTGCTGAAGTTAGCCAGCTGAAGCTAGCCAGCTGAAGCTAGCGAGCTGAAGTTAGCGACCTGAAGCTAGCCAGCTGAAGCTAGCGTGCTGAAGTTAGCCAGCTGAAGTTAGCGTGCTGAAGTTAGCCAGCTGAAGCTAGTGTGCTGAAGTTAGTGAGCTAAAGTTAGCCAGCTGAAATTAGCGAGCTGAAGCTAGCCAGCTGAAGCTAGCGTGCTGAAGTTAGCCAGCTGAAGCTAGAGAGCTGAAGTTAGCCAGCTGAAGCTAGCGAGCTGAAGTTAGCCAGCTGAAGTTAGCCAGCTGAAGCTAGCGAGCTGAAGTTAGCCAGATGAAGTTAGCGAGCTGAAGCTAGCGAGCTGAAGTTAGCCAGATGAAGTTAGCGAGCTGAAGCTAGCGAGCTGAAGTTAGCCAGATGAAGTTAGCGAGCTGAAGCTAGCCAGCTGAAGTTAGCCAGCTGAAGCTAGCGAAAATCATTGGTTGCTATGGTGATCCCCTCCATAAGAGAAATTGAGTAATATAATAAATCACAACGATGATCATGTTTTGTTCTAACCTGTAAGGTGATGTTTTCTGATCCTGAACCTGCTGCAGGTGGAACAGATCTATGGAAACCCATTCATGCCATGAAAGAAACAGATAAATGTCCAACAGGAAGTCATGTTATTATAAACGATGTTGTTGTTCCTGCCAGAGCTTCTGCTGGTGATGATGAGAATATTGAAGATTATTTAATGTACGGCATTAATCATGTTTTCTAATAACTTTATTCTTTTATCCCCTCCTTTGAACGTTTATAACTTACCATTTTACTTTTGTATTTTACAACAATCAATTAACATGAAATACGGATATTTTAAAGTCAGCGTTTTGAGGCAGTGATTGGCCTTTTCTTCATTATTCTGACTTTATAACTTGTATGTTGGGTTTTCTTTCTTTACTGGCAGGAATGGTCTTCCATATAAATCATCTCTTTCTGCATTCAAAATGTTTTCATGATTTGAGCAGCAGGCCGATTGATTCTGAGTCGGTCGTTCAGCCCGTCCGACCCAGAGGTTGCTGGTTCTGATGCTGAAGCTGTTGGTGAACTTTCCTCTCCGGTGTGAATCCGGTCCGCTTCGCTCCGATCCTCCAGCCGCCGCTGTGTTTGAATGTAAAAGTTTCGATGTGTTTTTATGTGGACCGACCGGCCCGGTTCTGACCGGACCGGACCCACAGAAGGATAAACTGCAGAGCACTTTGATGATGGACGATTGTTCAGCCCCACTGAGTTTAGTCTGTGAATAAAGTGTTGAACGCCAAACGCTGAGTGGAAGAAACGTTTCTGCATCAGGCGGCGCCGAAACGCTGCGTCAGCAAATAGCAACTGCAGTAAGTTTTAGTCTTTCAGGAAGAAAAACGGAGATTTCATCCTGAAAGTCACATTTCAGAACAGACAACATGCAGAAAGACCCTGGGAATCGAACCCTGGACCTTCTACCTGCAAGGTAACGGTGCTACCCACTGCACCACCGTGCAGCCCAAGTTTACAGACTAAACATTTAGTCTGGAGCCAAACTAAATATCATTTTGTAAATTAAATCATTTGAAATTGTGATTTAATGTGTAACATAATGGACCTGTGAACCATCAGATTCACAAACAGGGAAAATAAAGATTTATTACGACGAGCAAACAGTTTAAATCAACAATCAGGATGAAACTCAGTCAGCTGGTGGATGTGAACCGCAGACCCGGCAGACCCGGACCCGGACTTGGCAGACCCAAACCCGGCAGGACCCAGACCTGGCGGACCCGGCGGGACCACCGCGCCGCTGTGGGTCCGGCGCCGCAGCTTGTTCACGGTCGTCTGGGCCACATCGGCTGCTTTCT